TCACCGCCTGGCAGCCCCCGTGCTCAAGCCGGACCACCCCAGTCAGTTCCAGTGTAACGAGCCAGGGCTACCTCGAGAAGCGTGGCCTACGTTGGTGGCACGCCCAAAGGCACATGGATTCATCTGGGGCGAGGGTCTGCCAGGGCCCGGGATGGTGTATGACCGCATGAAGGATCTGTGGGAGGAGCCGACGGCAAGGGAACGTGAGCTGGCGATGGGCTTTCTCCCGGACGCAACAGCAGCCGCAGGGGTGGGAGAGACGCCGAGGCGTGAAGCCCTGGGGAGGGCAATGGATGCGGAGGCAATGCACTGGCTGGTGCATGTGATTCAGATGCATTTGGCATCCAAGCAGTTGGAAATGGAGGCAGAAGTGGGTGGCTCAGGGGACGACACAGAGGAGAAGGTGGGTGCCAGCCAGCGCAGGGCAGAGCAGATCCTGTCGGAACTTCAGATGGAGCGGCCACAGCAGCGAGAAAGGGGGTGGGCTCTAATAGCAGTAGACGCGGCTAGCAGCGGAGGAGCCCTCGCAGGAGAAAGCTGGATCGAACCACCAGAAGAAGAGATGCAGCAAGGAACGGCAGGAGAAGAACCAGCGGCGGAGGGAGCAACCAGGATGGCGCAGGCTGAGACATCCGAAGCGGCCAGGGAGGAAATAGCGCGGGGACCAGAGCACAACCCTATCCCAGCCGAAGCACCGAGAGAGCGGCAGGTGGAGCAAGAGGTACACTGGGAGGCGGACGAAGGCCTCACGGGGGAGCTGAAGGAGCAGATGAGGGTGGTACTGAAAGAAAATAGACAGGCATTCGCTTTCACCCTACTCGAGCTAGGCAAGTACAGGGGAGGAGAGATGGAGATAAGGCTGACGGAAGAGATACCGGTGTACCAGCGCAAGCGGAGGATGAGCCCGGGGGATTTGGAGGTGTGCATGGAGAAGTGCCGTGAGCTGCTGGAGGCGGGCCTCATCAGGCCCTCAAAGTCAGAGTACGCAGCCGCAACCGTGGTGGCGGCAAGGAAGGAGCTCACCGGAGGAATCCTGTCGCGCCGGATGTGTGGAGACTATCGAGACCTCAACAAACTGACCGTGGCCAACCGCTACCCCATGCCGACGCCAGAAGAAATCTTTGACAAGCTGCAGGGGGCACTAGTGTTCAGCACGCTAGATCTTCGAGAGGGCTTTAACCAGATACGCATTGCGGAGGCTGACGTGAAGAAAACCGCATTCCACGGGCCAGATGGGTTGTACGAATGGCTCTTCATGCCATTCGGCCTGAAGAACGCCTCTGCAGTCTTCCAGAAAGCCATGGACCGGGTGCTGAGGAATCTGCAGCACTGCGCAGCTTGTTATATCGATGACGTGGTGGTGTACAGCTCATCCGCGGAGCAGCACGTGAAGGACGTCGGGCAGGTGCTTGAGGCGATCAAAGCAGCAGGACTAACCTGCCACCCCAAAAAGTGCAGGTTCGGGACACTGACGGTGCAATACCTCGGGTTTGAGGTGTGCGGAGGGCAGATGACGATCCAACAGGCGAAGGTGGCAGTGCTAGACAAGCTGGCGGTGCCCGAGAGCCGGACGGCGCTTAGGGCCATCCTGGGATTTCTGAACTACTACCGCAAATTCGTGCCCTACTTCAGCAAGCAGCCGCCAGCTTGAATCAGCTCTTAAGGGAAGATGTGGCGTGGAAATGGGGGGCTACGGAGCAGGGGGCATTACAGGATCTGCTGGACGCGGTAAAGTCAGGGCCTGTGCTGCTGCTGCCGAAACCAGAGGGCAGGTTCACTCTCTACTCGGATTGGAGCAGCGCAGGCATGGGGGCAGTGCTCTGCCAGCAAGGGGAGGAAGGAGAAAGGGTGGTGGCGTTCGCCAGCCGCAGCTGCAACGCGGCAGAAGCAAACTACAGCTCTTACGAAGGCAAGGGGCTAGCGGGGGTGTGGGCAGTGACGCATTTCCGAGTCTACCTGCAAGGACGCGAGTTCACACTGGTTACTGACCACCAGCCCCTTCTATGGCTCATGACCAACCACACCCTGACCGGGCGGAATGCACGATGGGCAATGAGGCTCCAGGAGTTCGACTTTGTGGTCAAACACAGGCCAGGCCGTACGCTGCAGCACGTCGACGGGCTGTCCCGCAACCCTCCACCCGCAGAGCCGGTGGCGAGCCTGGTGGCGTTGGCGAGAGAGGCAGAGAGGCAAGGGGAGCGCCAGGAGGAGCAGCGGGGGGCGCCAGACATCTGGCTGGACGAGGAGACGCTCAGGTGGCTCAGAGGGGAGACCGAGGCGGAAGAACCAGCCTCAGAGAGAGCACGAGCACGAGGGCAGCACTACAGGTGGTACGCGGGGCAGGTCCAGCTGAGAACGAGGGAGGGATGGAAGCTAGTTCCGCCGCCAGCAGAGCGTGAGGGCATCATTCGTCGAGTGCATCAGCAGTTGGGCCACTTCGGGCATATCAGGACTACCCAGCTGGTCAACACAGGGTGGTGGTGGGCAGGCATGGCGCGGCAGATTCGGGAGCATGTGGGGCAGTGTGAGGCTTGTGACCGCAACCGAGCCCAGCTAGAGCGCAGCCAGCAGCAGCTGCAATCCCTACCCCTCCGCGGACTAGGATACAGATGGTCCCTCGACATGGCGGGGGAGCTACCCTTGAGCCGCCGTGGCAAGAAGTACATACTGGTTATGATCGAGCACGTCAGCAAGTGGGTGGAGGTACGGGCCCTCAGCAGTAAGAGCGCGGCCCTGGTCACAGAGGCGTTCACAGAGCAGGTCCTCACTCGGATGGGAGCATGTGGGGAGGTGCTCACCGATCAAGGCACAGAGTTCCGCGGAGAATTCGACAGAGCCTTGACCGCAATTGGGATCACGCATCGCAGGACCTCCCGCTACCATCCTCAGGCTGACGGGCTCACCGAATGGATGGTGCAGACCCTCAAGCGCGGCCTGAGGGCATATGGGGAGGCCCACCGGCGCACATGGGACGAGGATCTGCACTGGGTGGCGGCTGGGTACCGTTTCAGCAAGCAAGCGGCACTGCGAGACTTCTCTCCCTATTACCTGTTGTATGGGTGGGAGCCCATACTGCCAGTGGGAGCTCCAAGGGTGCTCACTGACGTCGTGACAGCAGGCGCACCCGAGCTGTGGGCCGCTCTGGCAAAGGCGCGAGGGGACTATCTGCGGGCACTCCTGCCATCGGCCATGGAAAATCTCCACGGGGCACAGCTGCGCGATGCACACAGGTACCAACAGCGGTTGGGGGGGCAACGCACGCTCGGGGCAGAGCAGTTGCAGTAGGGGCAAGAGGTGTATCGTCGCACGGCGTGGCAGACTGTCCTGGACCGCGGTCTCAGCGAAGAACGGTGGAAGGTGGTGGAAGCCAGGGAGTCTGGAGTCGTAGTGCTGGAGAATCAGCAAGGGCGACGGGTCAGGGATCACGCCACGAACACCGCCCAAGCTCGCACCAGGAGCTCTGGAAGTCTGGAGCTGGGCATGCAGGAGCCGTAGCCAGCTCCAGAGGGGGCAAGTGAGTGGCCATGCTGGATCAAGCAGAGCCCCGAACAAGGAGGCAAGGCAAGCATGAGCTAGAAGAGGGGCAGAGAAAGCATCAGCACCGTGTCCAGAAGAGACAGGAGCACTGCAAAGCAACAGAGCAAGACGAGCATGGCAGAGTGGGTAACAGAGAGGCAGGGGAGCCAAGAGATTTCCGACAGCTGTCGCGGTATTATGTAGACCATGGAGGGCAACATTATGCCGAGACAGCAGCTGTGGCATAAGGTGTGTGCATGACAAATCAGTGAGATGAGTTTCATTGGGGCAAGTGTAAGCGGAACAAGGAGCAGCAGACGAATGGGCTGCGGTGTACATATTTTTTACCATAGCGAGGACGAGCCTTGAGCAAGTGAATGTCGGGAGAGGGTTTTGGGGGGGGTTTTGCGTGTTTTCTTTGTATGAATGCTGTTCTATGCTGTGGCAGGGCGAGCGCTGCTAACGAGGATACGAGCAGCACGGCCGACAGGTGGCGAGGGCTGCAAGTGCACATGCAAGACAACCGGGCAGCTGGCACAGTTTCTGGTGCCAAACCACATGCAGCCCCAAACCGCCAGCGGCTTGTACATACGACTCGGGAAGCCCGAGCCTCGCTCACGCGTGATCTCTGTCTGTCCTTTCCGCTGAAGCACTAGGCTAGGGCAGTCAATCTCATCTTGTACATAGAGCTACTGAGCCCTTGTGCTAGGTGCTTCGTCGTATGTTTCCTGCTTTTTCTCAATGTAATCCTTTTGAACCAACACGGGTAGAATCAAGAATAGCAGGAGCCAGCTAGTCGGCCTAGATGGGTTAGTGAGGTTTTCTGAGTGAGTGGCCATGCTGGATCAAGCAGATTCCCGAACAAGGAGGCAAGGCAAGCATGAGCCAGAAGAGGGGCAGAGAAAGCATCAGCATCGTGTCCAGAACAGACAGGAGCCTGCAGAGCAACAGAGCAAGACGAGCATGGCAGAGTGGGTAATAGAGAGGCAGGGGAGCCAAGAGATTTCCGACAGCCCAGCGGCTCGCGTCGGCCGCCGAAGGCCGTGCTGTCGGTGTGGTAAGACAAAAAAAGAAAACAAACACATATAACAGAGGGCATCACAACATGAGGAGGTAGCAGATAGGCGGCACCCTACAACACCCTCGGGCGTGCATCTACAGCCATGGGGAAGCCCCAAGCCAGGCGCCAAAGCACCAAAGGCCAGGGAAAAACAACAGTCACTCCGAGAGTATCCAAACCAACTGGCCATCCATCTAGTGCAATACAGAGGCGGCGGCGGGTACAATGTCCCTTGGAGCCTGCAAGGCGGCAAGTACAAGCCTTCGCAAAGCGAAAGGACCGGGCCCCAATTCAGCACCTGGGGACCCCGGCACCAGCCCAATCTCTGGCAGCATCCGCAAAATCTCCATCGAAGCGGACACGGCAGCCGCCTGCTCATCTGGCAAGAACGCAAGAGGCCCGCCCCGAGCCGGGCGAGGCATAAATGCAGCTGATCCAGGACCAATGCAAAGAGACCAAGACAAGTCCCCATGCTCACTACGCGCTGCTCGACGTGGAGAGACATCCCGGCAGGCTGGGGATCCTGCCACAGACTCCATCGGTGCTGCGGCAGCTGCGCAGGAGGAGTTTCCCGGGCACAGGGAGACAGAGCCTCCCAGTGATAAGGATCAGAGGGCTGGGGGGAGTTTGCTGAGGGGCCCGCCTCGGATGATGGCGTCTGGGCGGACCGGGAACAGCATGAGGAGGAGACAAGGGTCCAGGCGCGAGAGGCGGCGGCTGACGTGGTGACAGTGGAGGAGTTGGCTGAGGAGGAGATACCGCAGGAGGCTGAGGTTGAGGCTGCGGCAAACTCTCAGCCAGAGGATGAGGCGCGGAGGGAGGCGCGAGTGCCGCCGGAGGCGGAACTAGCCGCTGCTGGGGAGGCTGTGACTGGAGGATTCCCCCGGGTGGGCGGTGTTGCTGCCGCTACCGGCGAGATAGCCGATCCTGCCGCCGCGGCTACGATCGGATCGGGCCAGAGGGCACTGCCTCTGCGTGCGGGCGGCGGCGAGGAGATGACTGGCGGTAGGGGCGAGCCTGTGTGCGAGGCGAGCGGTATTGAGGCGGGCACCGACTCCACACGTGGCGCTTGTGGCCGGCGCCGCCCTCAGCCAGAGCCGCGACGGCTCGGAGTAACGCTGGCACCCACCCTCCCTGGGCCCCTTTGGGGATGGCTCCGGCAAGAGCCGATGCCACACGATCCAGCGGATCCGACGACATTGGGAGCGGCGGCGGAAGCAGTGCAGGTCGGGGACATTGCAGCGTCGCAGCGACAAAAGCGCCGTGAGAGATGCCAAAGGCACGAGATGGGCGAGACGGCCCCGCCTGCAGTGCAGCGAGCGGCACAAGGCAATGGCAGAATCCGTTGGGTAGCGCCGTCAGCGCCGTGGATCCCGGCGGGTAGGGGGGGTCGGAGAGGTGGTGCGGAGGGAGGGGGAAGGGCACGAAGGGGAAGGGGAAGGGCGAGGGCTCCTCCAGAGCCGCCAAGATCTGGATCGTGGCGGGAGCGTCACGGCAGGCAGGAGCCAATTACAGCTCAAGGAGAGGAGGAGCAGGAAGATGGAGATGCTGCCAACGAAGCGGACGGTCAATCGTTTATGGCCTCTGCCACACCGAGCTCGGAGAACATTTCGCTCCCATAAGAAGAGGAGGTGGGCAGCCGCGCGGCACGAATCCTGCGAGCCGGCGCACCTCCACACAACGTGGACGGAATGCCAACCCTAGCAGCTGATCCGGTGGCAGGAGCGGCGGACCCACGAGCCCATGACGTTCGATCCCCCTCAGAACTTGCAGAAATGGAGGAGTTGTGGGTGCGAACCGAACAGTGGGAGGTGAGCAAGCTCACACGGGGCGACCAACCATTTGTCGCCAGGAGACTCCCGCCTGACGTGCTTACCAACTACTTGCTGTGTCTGCTCACACCACTCCTTCGGATCGCAAAAAAATCCAGATTGTCCGGGTGCGTGGCGCGTACTCACATTTCTTCCGAGGCTAACACTCCGTCCCCAACCCCGCGACACACTGGGGAACCGCTGGGATGATATTGAAGGCAGGCTGCACAGGTTCAGGTTGGGGGAGTGGGATAACCTCTATGCGGAGGCGATCACCATACCAACGGCCCAGGCACCAGTACGACACCAGGCCGACGCCAGAGGCTTGTGTTCAAGAGCAGAGGGCCTCGTTAAGAAAGGGAAATTGTCCAAGGCAGTATCCGCGCTACAAACAACCCCGCTACCACAGGCAACCACCGAAACTTTTTCGGCCCAACGCTCCAAACACCCTGATGCAACACTGCCATTGCCGTTCTGGGTCGAGGGGGAGCTGACATCAGAACTTTCGGTAACCCAGGAGAACATCCGCAACATTCTCGGGAAATGTCCCCAGCGGGGTAGGCTCGGGCCCCTCAGGAACCTGCTTCGAACATTTCCGCGACCCTGCACTGGGCAATGAGGAAATACTTACCCTCCTGCGTGGTGCAATCAACCATCTCCTAGGCAACTTCCTCCCCCAGTCAGTCACAACGCACTGGTTTACGCGTGCCTATGCATGGCTAAGGAGGCTAAGTACATGACACTGCACAAGACAACGGTTTATTCACCGCCGGTTGACCGGAAGCGGGCGGATCTGAGCATCCGTGATCCAAAGACGGGCGAGACATGGGTGACGGATGTCACCATCACGGACCCGGTTCTGCAGCGGCGGGACCTAAAGGCAGCAAGGGCTCCAGGGTGGGCGGCTGAGGAGGCTTGCATTGGCAAGCACAAGATGTACCAGGAGAGGCCACCATGTGTGGGGTTCTTGGGGCTGGCGGTAGAGACCTACGGGGCATTAGCGGCAAACACAGTCAAATTCTTCCGCATCTTAGCCACTAATGCCGCCAAGAGGGGTTTCTGCCACGGCCCACAGACCACGGTACCAGCAAGGCTTAATGCCCACTACCGCCAACGTTTCTCGGTGATGCTCCAGAGATGCCACGCGACAGGGCTGCTCGCCAAGTCCAACCGTGCGGCAGAAGCATCCTCATCTCAGGCACCATCAGACCCATGGGAGCCACGGCTGGGTGACTTGTGGCAGGTGCTGGAAGACGGAGTTGGGGGCTGAATGGTCTAAGAGGGGAAAGGGGAAAGAGAGGGTGAGTGCTAGGCGAGCATGACAGCTCTAGCCAGGGTAGTATAGCCAAGGCCGCACTGTATGTCTTGCTCTGCTTAGCCCGCTCGCATGGCCATGACTGCCACGTTTTCTGGCCGTAGCATGTCCCTGCATGTTCTTACATGCCCTTGCATGTCTTGCATGTCCTTGCTTCGCATCTTTGGTAGCCTATCGACCATGATCGGTCATGCCATGCCTGTACCCTTATGAATCTATCAATGCAAGACTGCTTGAGAGAGAGAGAGAGAGAGAGAGAGAGAGAGAGAGAGAGAGAGAGAGAGAGAGAGAGAGAGAGAGAGAGAGAGAGAGAGAGAGAGAGAGAGAGAGAGAGAGATTGATGGCTTAGGACTAGTCCTTAGCTGTTTTTAGCCCTCTCTAGTGTAGAATCCAGTCCTTAGCAGCTTTTTAGCCTAGTCTCCTAGTATAAAGTCCTTAGATGCACCCCTTTGAGCTCATTCTTCACTGGTGAGTTCATTTCACTCTCCAAAACTGGCGGCTCGCGTCGGCCGCCTTCGGCGGCCGCCGCTCGCCAGCGCGGCCTTCAGCCGCGCGTAAGGTGTGACAAGGACCAAGGGAACAAGGACTATAGCATGGAGCAGTACAACATGCAGGGCTAGACAACACACAACAACAACAACAACACCCCCAAGCGTGCCTACACCGCCATGGGGAAGCCCAAGGCAAGGCCAGCTACTAAGGAGGCCGGCACAGGGAAAACACCTGCTACTCGGCGAGTATCCAGCAAAGCCTCCCATCCATCCAGCGAAGGACGGATGCGGATGCTGATACAAGGCCAAGAGGGGCCTCCTGAGCGGACTCAGCAAGCCGCATCATCGCCCCAGGGCCAGGCTCGAGCGCTGCGCCAGGGGCGCCTTGGACAAGTCCGATCAGGGGGAGATAATGGAGCATCTCCGTTGCTGCAGACACCGCCGCCGACTGCTCTGACGGCTCCATCGCCCCAACCTCCACTCCCTAGCGCGCCAAACACACATGGAGCTGGTCCAGTACGTATGACAACAGCGTCAAACACGTCCCCACATGCATTACGCGTTGCTCGACGCGGAGAGGAGTCGCAACCACACGAGCAGCGACGCGGGGAGCTGGTGGGACGGGAGGGAATAGCAGCATCAGAGGAATTGGCGGAGGACCAGGAGGCGGGGGGCGATGCGGCTACGGTCGCGGCGGCAGTGGGAAATGGCGCAACAGTGACTGAGTCGGAGGCGGTTGAGGTTGTGGTTGCTGCGGGGCCGGAGGGGGTTGCTGCTGAGGCGACTGGGGCGGAGGTTGCTGTTGAGTCTGACGGGCCTGACGCTGCCTTTGGCGGCGGCTCAGCCTCACCCTCTGCCATCCCCCAGGCGTGGCAGCCGGAGGAGCCGGGACCAGCAGTGGCTCTGGAACGGACCAAGGAGGTGGAGCTGGCGGCGTCACCGGAGCCTGTAACGGCGTCTGTGCTGGTCGCGGCAGTGACAGCGGCGGCAGGGGAACGGGACAGAGCCTGGGCCGAGGAGGATGCGCCGACTGCCGCTGCGAGCGCCAGAACGTCTGCTGCTACCGAGGGCGCAAGCAAGCAGGGGCACGACCGGGGGGGGATCGATAGACGGGGTCACGGACCCGGCGGGACTGCCGGCGCCGCCCGCGGGAAGATGAAGCTTCGAGCCCAGCCAGCACCGAGGCGGCCCGGAGCAGGGCTGGGACCTGGTCCCCCGGGACCCCTCCTGGGCTGGCTTCTGCAAGGGCAGTTGCCACAAGGGCAAGAGCGTCACTGGCCATTTGTGGGAACAAGTGGCGGGGACATGGAGGCAGGGAATGGTATCAGACAAGCACCCACAGTGAACACCAACGTGGCAGGGAATGCAGTGGCAGGTCCATCAACGCAACAACCACCGCGCCGGGATTCGCGGAGCTCGACGGAGGGGGGGGGGGGGTAAGAGAACAACCACGGTTGCCGTCACGGCTCAACAGACCCCGTGGCGTGAAACACGCAGTGTAACAAGAGCACAAGGCATTACCTGGGGCCAGCCAAGGGTTAGCCAGGCAACGCCGATGCTGGCGCCGTGGATCCCGGCGGGAAGACCGCAACTGGCCGGCCGAAGCGAGCAGAACGCCGGCACCAGGGGCGGAGTAACGGCTCGCGGAACGAGGGGAGGAGGACGAGGTGCCAGAGGGGGACGGGGCGAAAGAGGTCCAATTGTCGGCGGAAGGGTTGCGCTCGTGGGAACGGGAACGTGGCGGGAATGCCACGACCGACCTGAGCAAGCGGAGCCAGCGACGAATCACAACGAAGAAGATGATGCCAACATTGAGGAGGGGGGCGATTATATAGCTGAATCGGCGGAGCCATCTGAGGAAATCTCGTTGGAGGACGAGGAGGATGTGCGCATGACGAGAAGGGCTGGGGAGCGAAAGAGAAACCAGAGCTGCGAGATAAACCCCCAGGTCGATAACCCTCAGGGGACGGGGATTAGGAACAAGGAGGTGAATGGAGAGAGGGGAAACCCTCGGGTGGTGGGAGAGAACGGGGACGCACCCAATGAGGGACAGAGTGACTCAGGGGTCCGATCACCGTCTGACCTGGCGGACGATTCTACCATCTGGAAGCTGGCAAGCACGTGGGAGAAATACCCACTCCAAAAAGGGGACCAACCCTTCGTGGTGCGCAGAATGCCGCCCAAGATCCTAGAAAGCTACACGCTCTGCCTCCTGGCGCCACTCATTCGACTCTCGAAATATCCTGACTGCCCAGGTGCATGGGGGATCCTGCAGTATTTGCCGAGGCTGACGCTGCGTCCGGCCCCTGAACCTGTTGGCGGCAGTCGGTGGATAGCAATAGAGCTGCGCCTGCATCAGTTCCAACTCGGCAGCTGGCATCCCCTCTACACCGACGCATGTGTCATCCCCGACAACGAGAGTCCGATACGACACCTGTTAAAACTAGCAGGTAGGAACAGAAATGAGAAAAGGAGAGGTTCACTAGTAAGCAGGGCAGTACATATAGCAAACCCTAATTTGGGTTGTACTCACTATACAGTACCCCACTGCAGACTAGATAATGATGACATTTTGACACACCCCTATAGTCGAAGTGGGGTGTAATCAGCACAGCAAGCAGTCATGGAGCAGGTTCACAAGGACAAGCAAAGCTAGAGGCATTCACAATGGGTACGTGAGGAGGAGGAGGCTGGACAGTGAGAGGAGAGGAGATGGGAGACGACGGCTGAAGCTGCAGACACATGGGCAACAGGAGCGCGCACACAGTGGCTACCGGGACAGCGCCCCGGACTACTGGAGTAACTGGCTCGGCGGCTACGAGGAGCGGCAAGAGCAACGAACCCACGGGCGACAGGCACAACAGGCTCTCTGGGCTACCAGGACAGCGCCCTGGACTACAGGTGCTGCGGACGACAAGACGGCAGCCTCCGCTCAACCTCCCCCAACTGTCCCACCCCCCTTTCACACACTCCTTGCTGTACCCCTAGCTCCACTTCCACGTCACCCCCCTAGCACCACTCCTTCGGCTCCCACACACCTATCCCCCCCTTAGTGGCAGATGTAGCAGTGGGAGACGGAGGAGGAGGAGGAGCTGCAGGTTACCCACACCAATCACCCCAATGCCCGCCACCCCGATGCCCGCCACCCCGAAACCCTAACGCAGGCAGGAGAGCGGGAAGCAGCAGGGGCGGTTCACGGAGGGAAAGGGAGGCGGCGGGGGGGTCTCATGGGCGCCACAAAGGAGCAGGGCGCGGGCCCCCCGTGGGCGCCACGGCGGGTGACGGGAGGGGGGCCGCGCACGGGCCCCCGAGGGCGGCTCGACGGGCCACGGAAGGGGCCGCGCGCGGGCCCCCAAGGCGCCGCGACGAAGCGACGGGAGGGGGCGGCGCGCGGGCCCCCAAGGCGCCACGATGAGGCGACGGGAGGGGGCGACGCGCGGGCCCCCAAGGCGCCGCGACGAAGCGACGGGAGGGGCCGGCACGGGCCCCCAGGGCGCCGCAACGAGGCGACGAGAGGAGGGCGACGTGCGGGCCCCCAGGGCGCCGCGACGGGCGATGGGGGGGGGGGGGGGGGGGGGGGGGGGGGCAGCGCGCAGGTCCTCGGGGGCGCCACGACGGGCAGAAAACCACCGCGCAAAGCAGGAAACCGCCGCGCGCCTCGGGGCGCACGGCGGGCAGAAAACCGCCGCACACCCCGAGCGCACGGCGGGATGAAAAACGCCGCGCGCTCCGAGTGCGCGGCAGGAAGAAAGGGTCGCGCGCCCGGGGCGCGCGACAGCAGTAGAGCAGCGGAAGCATCAGGTGGGGCCTACCCACAGGATCGACCCAGGAGGGTCGACCTGCTCTGATAGCATGTTAAAACTAGCAGGTAGGAACAGAAATGAGAAAAGGAGAGGTTCACTAGTAAGCAGAGTAGTACATATAGCAAACCCTAATTTGGGTTGTACTCACTATAGAGTACTCCACTGCAGACTAGACAATGATGACATTCTGACAACACCAACCAGATGACGCAGGTTTATGCGCAAGGGCGGAGGGTTTGATACGTAAAGGAAACATTTCCAAGGCGGTTGCGGCGTTACGAACTACACCGCTCGTAGAAGCCACGGCTGCAACATTGACTGCCCTCCAAGCGAAACACCCCGCAGCTGAAACATCGCTACTGGATCTGGTTACCGGGTTCAACCGTTCGACCCTTAGTGTGTCAGCGGACGAGCTTCGCAAAATCCTCAAGAAATGCCCGAACGGGGTTGGAGCAGGCCCATCGGGCACCTGTTTTGAACACCTCAAGGATCCGGCACTGGCAAACGGGGAGGTGCTTATTCTACTCGCTAAGGTAGTGACTTACCTGCTGAGCACGTTCCAGACACAAACGACCTGCGATTTGCTGCTGCCTTCATCGTTGATCGCCCTAGAAAAGCCAGGAGGAGGCGTCCACCCTATTGCGATAGGGGAAGCTATACTTCGAGTCGTAGCTAAGGCAGCACTGCGTGGCTTAACCAACAACATCAGATATTTTTTCCTACCGGTGCAGTTTGGGGTGGCGATACCGGGAGGCGCAGAGTGTATCATCCACTCCGCCAGATCGCTACTAAGGGACGACGACACACGAGTAGCGCTACAGCTGGATATAGAAAACGCCTTCAACAGTGTCGAACGTCCGGCTTTCTTCAACGCTCTCTCCCAGTCCAGTTTGCTGTAGCTCATGCCCCTGGTCCGAACTCTCTATGGGGCACCGTCGTCACTCTTGGTAGATGAGCGTTTAGGGGTGAACCATATCCTCTCGTCACGCGGGGTGCGTCAAGGGGACCTGCTCGGTCCACTACTCTTCGCGGCCGCGATTCAACCATGCCTGCTAAGCACGGCGACCTTCTTACCGGAAGTCGCGATAGTGGCCTATGCCGACGACATAACGATAGTGGGGCCGAAGGAGGCTTGCTACGAGGCCTTTGGGGCCATTACAAGGGAGTTGGCAACGCTCGGCCTCCGTTGCAACATCGCAAAATCGTCGGCATGGGGACAATCGCTCGCGGATGACGGCGGCACGGCAGCTCCCATCGGCCTGCAGCAGATCGCAGATGGGATTCGGGTTCTAGGCAGCCTAGTCGGCTTGCCTGCCTTCTGCACCACCCAAGCACAGACAAGGCTCGATGAGGCGTCGGCCCCGTTACCTCTGGTGGCGCAGCTCCACCTCCAGAGCGCAATGCTCATCCTCACGAGGAGTGTATCCCGCCGAATCTCCTACTTTCTGCGGACGACACCGGCGGAAGTCCTGGGGAGAGAGGGGTGGAGGGGCTGGAGTGAGACTCTGATGGCAGCAGCACTAGCAGTGGCGAAGCTTCGGGTACCTACTGACGAGCTGGAGAGGAGTCTGTTATGGCGCCAGGGGACTCTGCCGGTTAGGTTGGGAGGTTTGGGGATTATTGACCCCGTCTCCGAGGCACCTGCTGCCTACATTGCCTCGGTCACGGCGGCGCAGCAGTTGCTGCGGCAGATGAACTTACCTGAGGCCTACCTCTTGAGCAGGGCAGTTGAGCTGCTGTGCCACGATTGGACCCCTGCCCCACCCGGCATCAACCCCCTGACAACTCTGGAAGCTGGGCTCCCTATAGCCGCACGGGCGGCACTACACACTTACAGGGAGCAGCCGGCGGGTCAGGGGAACCTTCAACTGACCCTGTCTCACCACATCAATGAGATGAGGGCAGCGGAGCTGCTGGCTAGCACAATAGAGGACCGCCCGGGGAAGGACCGTGGGCACGCAGTACGGCTCATCAGTCTGCAAGGGGTGGGCGCGGGGGACTGGCTCCATGCCGTCCCAACGAGATCTGACCTTACTTTTGCCCCAGGCTAGTTCTCGTTGGCAATTGGCTTCCGCCTCGGCATGGCTCTTCCAGTCACAGCTACCTGCCCGTGCAAATGCGCCAACACTGCGATCGCGGACACGAGCCTAGCGAACCACCTCTTGCGGTGTGGGTACGGGGGAGATGTCGTCCGCACACACAATGCTCTAGTGTACGCTCTGCTCCGGATGGCGAAGGAGGCCGACTTCACGGTTTTCCACGAAACCACTGCCTTTTCCCCACCGGTGCTGAGGAAGAGAGGTGATCTTGCTATTCGGGACAAGGAGTCGAATGAGACTTGGGTCACAGACGTGACAGTGAGTGACCCAGTGCTGCAGTGCCGTGACAAGCGCGCTCGGAAGCCACCTGGATGGGCGGCAAGGGAAGCTTCAGAGAGGAAACACAGGATCTATGAGGGGCGGCCTGACTACGTGGGTTTCTTTGGGTTGGCAGTGGAGACATACAGTTTCCTAGCTACGGATACACAGCAGTTTATCCGCCTGTTAGCAACCTCGGCGGCAAAAAGGAGGTTCTGCCAGGGGAGGCTCACCACCACCACTGCACGGCTCACTTCTCACTACAGGCAGCGCTTCAACG